ATCTTGGCTCGGGCGCGCGCCCCTCTGTGGCCGGAGTGGCCTAGCCCAAAATGGCGGCGTGGCCCTGAGGCGGCGCTCGGCTCCTTCGCGAGGGTACAAAACTCTTGTGTTTTAGCGCAGATGTGGCGCGAGCTCGTCGAGGGAAGTAACAACAAAGATTACTGAGGAGTTACCATGGAGACTGAAACAGTCCAAGTCCAGCAAAAGGCAAACGTGTAGTCAAACCCCAGTATATGCGTATACATAAACAGGACCTAGTGGATTATTTCTATTAAATTAAATTATCAGGAGATATTATATGCTTATTATCCCATGGCAGCTAGGGTTGGGATCAGATGAACTTTAAGGCCCACAAGTTTCTATGATCTACTGGCGAAATGCTTTTAATGACGCTAAAAGATCATTTAAATTTACAGCAAAATTATACAGTCAGGTGGGTGCTATTCAATGACGGGGATGATTTTGGGAGAATTTGTGTGTGCAGAACGTGTTCGCCTGAATTCAGGAACTGTGTGACGTGAATTTCTTGCCAATTAAAGCCGAAACTGCATCTTGTTACATGTGAAGTGAAACCTGTTACTAAATTGTATCCTAAAGTCATGAGAAAACTATAGTTTCTTACAGAGAAAACAGCAGTGGCTACAATTCACTGCCAGGCAGCTGCCGTTAAGGAGGAAAAAAAAGGATTTAAAAAGGAATACCCAATAAGAAACAAAATATGCTAAAGCAAAGACTTTTTTTGTTTATGTATAAATACATAGGATTTTCTTCCACTTTTCTTGGGGATGCAGTAGGTGCATGTGACACAAGATATAAGAATTGCTGCAAAATCAAATCTATGATGGTTTTTCCTGCTATATTTCAATGAAAAGCATTAGAAGCTGGTGTTTTGGATTATAGTCAGGACAGCTGATGAAGAAATGCACAGAGCTGCAGTAATCTGTAGACAAAAGGGACGCTGTTGAGAGCCCACAAGAGTCAAAAATATAAACCCCCTGTCACAGAGCAACTTCACCTTAAGTTGTACTGGTTTGGGTTTTGATTTTTGGTTGGCTTTTTTTTGTGGTTTTGTTGTTGTTGTTTTATTTTTGGTTTTGATTTATTGTTGGTTAATTGGGGTTTATTTTTTGGGGTTGGGGGCTTGTTTGTGGGTTTTTTGTTTGGTTGGTTTGATTTGTTTTTTGGTTTTGTTTTATTATTATTGTTACTGCTTTAATGCTCATTGAACTAAAGGCCCAAAAGTGACACCAGATGGCGCCAGGCACCACAGGCAGAGCCAGCCTGAGAAATACCTTGACTCCCAGGTCAGAGATTTTACTTTAGTTGAATGAAGATTTCATTATCTTTCTAAAGTTTAAATAAACCTCTTTACTAATTACACTAATTACACTAACTGCATTAGTGCAGTTCTGATGACAGATGTAGATATGAATAGCTCCATACAGCTAATAACCCCTGGGACACTTCTCTTAACTAAATGCCATTCTTTCCATTCTTACAGGTGGTGAGGTCCCACTTGATCTAAGAGGGAATAAAGCTCCTCTGTGGCTGACTGACCTTCCACTCAAGCATGGCTATGTTGCATTTTCTTATACTGAGGTTAGAGGTAATGATGAACCAGTTTATTTTAAAATACCCACCTAGATGTCAAAGGGTTTCTGTATGAATTAATATGTGACTGTGTGAATGTATGGCTTGGCAGTGGATACGTGTGCTAAGTGTTATGCCTGCTTTTGCACTTAAGATTCTGAAGAAAAATCAGTGAAATTTGGAACTTATTCCTACTTAAGAAACCTGTCTTTTCACTGAATGGTTGGAGTTAAAAAGAGAGGATGATTTAGGATTTAACCTGCTTGCAAACCAAGTAGGTTAAAAGACTCAACTAAGGGCTTTCTGTGATAAATTCAGTGTTATGCTTAATCTCTGCCATAGTATAGGAAGGGACAGAGCAAATAGCTCAGCTGAGGGTTTGTTGGTTGGTTAATTTTAGCAGCAGGTCTCTGAGGGGGCAGGGAATAATACCAAAATGAGTAGAACAAGAAGCAACTGTTCTCAGCTTTAGACAAATTCCAGTCACAAGTGCTGGTAAAAATAAGGGGAAAGAACTCATAACTCTGCATTTTGAAATGAAAACATATACCTGGTGAGATTCAAAAGGGTGATACTCAGCTTGGGAAACCAATGAAGAAGATAGAATTCTGCTGAATCCAAGGGAAATAATACTTAGTGAACAGAATCAGAGAATTAGTAATGGGATTTTGTAGAATTATTAAAAAAAAAAAAAAAAAAGTATTTCACTTAGTTTTGACATGCAATGTATTTTTATATAATTATTTGGTTTATTTTGGAGGTAAAAAGAAAAGCAATGGAGCAGCAAGAGTTGACTGCTCCACAGAGGGCAGGAGCCAAGCAAAATAACACAGGTGATGGGCCAGAACCTCACTGTCCAAGCCCAGTCCCACAGAGCCACAAGGCAAGCAGGGCACACTGGATTCTGACAGGAGTACAGAGCATCAGGCAAGCAGCAAGGCAGGTCTGAGGTCAAGCTGTGAAGGCAGCCCACAGGCTAGGGTCAGATCCAGTGAGAACTAGGGTCACACATCACCTAGCAATTGCCATGAAGGTCCATACGGATGAGACAAGGCTGAAGTCAAGCTAAGAAATCAGTCTGAAACTCCAGATCCAGATAAACATGGCACAGCCATGGCTGAGCTGGGGGCGCATACTGATACAACACAGGTCAGGCATGAACTGGAAGAACAGGGCTTGTCTAAACTGGGGCTCCTGAGCCCATGGGAGGGGTCAGGTGAGGATTGTTGGGGCTATTAAAGCCTGTTAGGGTGCGCAGGATGCTGACAAACTACACAGGATAAATGAGGGTTGACAAGAGGAATCAGAAGGGTTAGTTGTAATCTTTAAGTCAAACAAAGTTTTCATAACTCAGTATTAATAGGAAGTCTTTCTTAGGCTTAGATTCCGGTCAAAAGAGAAAAGCAAAGGTAGAATATCTGAGATGATTACAAAACCAAAATTAGTTGGTTTTCCAAATGGAAGGCAGAAGCTAAAAGGACAGAATGGATCTCACATTCTTTTGGGTGGATTTTATGTTTATATTTAGCAGAATTGTAGTAGTTTCTCACTGACAAGTAATCAAGAAGTGAAAATCTAATAACAGAGACATTTCTGTCAAGATGACATTTTCCTTCCATTTTGTAGGACCCTGATTTCTGATTCATCTAGAACATCATGTTCCTGGATCTTTTCTTTCTTAATCCTAGCTCTAAACCAAACTCTTAGCTAGAAAACTAGGATCCTTACATACTGCATATATGTTGGGATTCCAAGGAGAAAACTGGCATAAATGAGGAGAATAGGGCAGGAGCACGTGTTGTTCTTACGAAGGTCATGCCTGACCTTAAGCAAAGAGAGTTAGACTAGTTTTAGGGCTAAGGTTCTGAGGAGTAAGGCATGAAGCAACAAAGCTTCTTGAAAATGCTTGCTTGCCGGTTATGAAGAAGGACAACTGAAAGAAAGGAAGATTTATTCAGAGACTTACAAGCTCACATCTCTTCCTTGTGCTCCAAAGGTAGGGCATAGAGCAAACTGAAGAACCAGTGCTTTGGTTGGAGAAAGAAAGCACACATGGAAACCCGAGCCTCACATGACATCTGCCCTCAGCTCCAGATGGATCAACTCTACTTTGTGTTAAAAGTGGAGTTAATGCTATGTTTGTAAAGAAATACAGAAGGGAAAGGATTTTAAGTGAATCTGAAGTAACGCATGAAAAAAACTACGTTTGGGATGTTGGGAAAAGTGAACGCCTTTTTTTTTTTGTCCAGAACAATGTTTATAGTACTTAAGTGAATTTTTATCAGTGAGTACATAAATGCCCAGTGTTTTTGCAGCTTGTAGCAGTTTTATTTATTAGATATAATTACAGTGGGTTTCATAGTATCCTGTTGTGTTGTTATAAGTTGTTTTGATCAGTTTCTTATAATTTAGTGTGAGTCAAGAACATTAGTTTACTTCAATTCATATGTTTTATTTTATGTTTTATGAACCTTCGTGTTTTATAACTTTTGTTTCTTCTGAAACTAAGGCTATAATATTCTGATTCCCTTCTTTTCTTGGGTGGTTGTTTTGTCTATACATGTCAAAGAAAGTCTGCTGTCTTTCTTTGAACCTCTTTGTTGGAGACACCTGTTTTCTTATAGAGTGTAGCACATTCGTTTGAGAGCATGCAAGAAACTTTTCTAGAGAATGGAAATTATATCTTTCATTTCTTCTCATTTCAAATTGGAATAGTACATTTGTCTGGTTTGGCTACAGTGACCACACGATGCAGAACTATTCAGTGAGCTAAATGATGATATTTTCCACTCTTAACTTGCTTTGTATACTTTGAATTTTTGGGACCTTAAATTATCTTGATCTTTAATTTTCAGTTCCTGAAATTCTGCTTCTACTGTTTGTTTTTCAGCAGCAGCAACATCTGAGTTAAGCTTCAGATAAACACATTATCCAAGTTCTTTGAATACCATCCATACTTTGTTCTTAGTTGTAGAAATATTTATCATCTTTCTAACAAAATTTTTAATGTTTACAAATGGAATAGTTATCTCATTCTCTCAAAAATCCACTGTAAACATCTGCCAAAGGAAGAATTACACACTACTTTATCAAAGTGCCTATAAAGAACTGAGTCTTTTATGAAGAAGGGCCTTGATATTTTAGACGGAACTCTTAGTCTTCACTACAGAGCTTCTCCTCATTCATTAGTTACCTCCGAATGTACCTCTCATGGCTGCATTGGCTGCAGTAAAACAATTCCGGCGGGAAAGAGAGAAAATCTTTGCTTTTACCTTCTCCTTTTCAGCCAGCTACAAAGTGGCTTCAAAGCTGAGCAAGAACTGACAAAACATACTGAAAGGATATGGACAGAGGTGTCTGGTAATGGACTATTTCTCTTTGTCGCATTTATTCAAACAGAGGGCAAATACAGTTTATGCAGAAGCAATGCAGATATTGATCTCACAGCTCCAGTGATATGACCTTGGAGGAAAGAGAGCTTTCCTACAGATTTTTTGTCAAACCAGTTAACAGCTATAAATTGCATTTAAGCAAAACCATTGTTCATTACAATTTGTTGTTTTGAATTAAATCCCCACAAATAATATAAAAAACCACCCCAAGTCCACTTCCAAAGCTGCCATTAAACTCCTGAGAATTCTGCTTTTCCGTGTTTTCAACTAAAGTTGGTTCAGACTGCCAGAAAAGAACAATTATTGAATTTCCATGCTGAGTTTCCTGCTGTAAGCATGTTTGGTCATATAAACAAGTTAACTGAAAAATGACCCATGTTAAAAAGAAAAACAGAATCCTTTTTCTGTCCATATAGATAGTCCAAGAGAAACATCTGACCATCTCAGAGAATGACTGCTCCATCCTTGCAAGAGGAGTGATCTTCTTTTTTTTAAATTTCCGCTACTTATCTCTCCTTCAGTGCTGCTTATGTGAAGCAAGTCATTAATATCATAGAATTATTTTAAAGAGATTTAGTTATTGTTTCTTCTGAGATTCCCAGTTTCTGGGGTGTACCTATCTTGCTCTAGACTGTAACACTGTATGCAGCAGGGAGTATCTATATTTAGATTTTCCAGAAACTTTGTTTTGCTGAACAAATAGTGAAAGACCTCAGTTCAGATCGGGCCTTTTCCCAAATTCAAAGTATCCCAAATTTTTTACATGGACCAGGATGGAGGTTTGGAGGAGGTAGACAGCATATTGTTTAAGATTTGCAGAATCTAACCTTTCAAAAACAAAGCCAAACCAAAACAACAACAAACAAAAACAAAAAAAAAGCCCCAAAACCCCAACCCAAACCAATCAAACAAAAAAAGTTTATACGTGTGTCTTTTAGGAACCTCTTTCCTCCATCCTGTTAGAGGTTAGGAATTACCCATAGTTACTAACATTAAAATGTACTGAAAGAGACATATTTATAAGATATCTATCCATATAATGTGAGGGTTGACAGGTTCTTAGCCACAGAAATGTCTGCATAGATTATAAAAACCCAGAACTTGTCTGAGGCAATGGGAAATCACTGTCAGAGACAGACAGAATGACTGAAGTGCCTGATGGTTTATCCAAGCTCCAGACCTGTAGAGCACCTTTTAGTCACTGAGGTGCTCGATTTCAGCTCAGCTGCCAAAGTGCACTAGCTCAGCTGTGCGGTCGGCGAGAGAGGGGAGGCTTTCATACAGATCTCATTAATTGGAAGTAAATCTTCATCCTCATGTGTATGGAGGGCTCCTATTGTTGTCCTGTTTATTTTTAGTAAAAGATAAAAGTTAGTTCACTGTAGCTGTGAAACTTTTAGGTACACACCTAGCCTTATACCTGAATTGGCCTTTTTCTGAAGCCCATGCTAGAGATCTGTACCAGAAATCAGCATAGAGATCCAGAATGACTCGAACATTTGAACAGAGATATTAACAGCAGTTGATGGTTACTGTCAAAGGGAATATTTCAATAATTTATTAGTAAGTATTTGCATTTTTTTTAACAAAAGCATATTAAACAGTATTTGCAAATCTTTAAAACAAAAGGCATTACATTTTTTCCCTTACTGAGCAGAATTTTTAAGGTGCTTGTCTTGGTTTAGGGCAAATTTGGGAGAAAATACGATTTTATATCAAAATTACTCCAGGACACTGCTGCTGTGTGCTGTATAAAATTTAATTTCAGTAATGCTTACTGTCATACTCTGTCATGCAATTCCAAGTGAATATTTAAATGTCTCCAGCTTAGCACATTTATTACTGCATTTGTTGGCATTCTTAGAGAGGGGAAATGTCCACTTCTCCACACAAATGTATGCTTGGTTTGCCTTTCACCAACAGAATGTAAACATAGTCATCGTAACTGAGAAGGTAAAGAAATATGCTGCTATGAGACTGTAACAAGTTTAAGTGCATCCAAACCAACCTTCTCCACATGAAAAAGTATCTGGCTTAAATTAGTGTGTCACTGTAGGTGCATTTCTGCACTGCTTACTTTAATAAGAGTTAGAGCACCTCCGTACTAAAATGATGCCTCTACATAGTGCGGAGCTTGTTTGCCAGGAGTTTATTGTGTTCTGGGTGACTGTTACCAGTTGAAGTGTTTCACTGGTGAATCCAGTGCATAAATGATAATGTTGCAGTGGATTGTGATGCAAACTTAAACCTATCCTGATCTGGATGTTGAAGCAGAAGTTACAATTTCAACGTTTTTTCATCTTCTATCATTCTTTTTTCACTAGCTAGAAACTGTAATTCTCAGCTTGTTGCATGTTTTTGAAGGGCTAGTTCTACATGCTCTGGAAAAGCAGCCTCTGAAGCAGTGGAAAATCTTTAGCTTGGTGAAATTAGGCAGCCTGATGCTTTTCTGCAGTGGCATCACACAGTGAAAATTAGCTTAGAGACTTGGTTAGCCAGCACTGCACTGGTGGGCACCCAAACCCAGCAGGATCAGAAAGAATAGCAGAACAGAAGGTGTAGACGCCCCTTCTCTGGAAATCTGCACAAATAAGGCCCCCCAAAACCCCACCAACATTAGTCAGCAACACAATAGTTTTGTAACTAGAAAAGTCTGTGACAGCTGCACGTTCTCCTTTTTCCAGCTGTGTGCAGTGAAAATAAACCAGTCTTTGGGGTCTATTGTCATTGATAGCAAGTGGAGATGATTTGCAAAAAAGAGTTCAAGTTTGAATTCTCTCAAGACTGAATAGGTGAGATCCTTTGACAAGACTCACATGCCAATTATTCTCCCCATCCCAGTCCAGGCTTCATCATCTTCAGAAGATATCCTACAAATTGTGGTCAATCCTTCTGGCAGGTTCTCCTGGTTTTGCAGAGTAGCCAAAATCTAACCTGAAACCACTATCAACTTTACCTCAAGACATCTGGGCTAACTTTTAATTCTTTGACTTATAAAACCATTTTCCTGAGAGAACTCTCTAGTCCAAGTAGCTGTAAATTTACTTAAGTGCTTGAAACACTTTTATGACAGCTCCTTGGCCCATCCTGAGGCCTCTGATGTCTAAATGGTGGCATGAATGCTTTGCTCTGGTTTAGGGTGTTCCTCAGCTTCTCTGATTTCTTCTGGCAGGCCTCCATGTGAAAAGAATCCCACTTCATAGGCTTGGTGCAAATGGAACAGAAAAAACCACTACACAAAGTGTTGAGAGTTCAAGAAGAACATTCTTCTAACTTGTCCTCCATCTGATTTGTTTAGCTTGTTTTCCCAAATAAATAGCAAAGAGAGTGTGTATGTATTTGTATTTATTGCACAACTTCAGAAACAAGTACATAGACCTCTTAAACATTTGGCTTCTATATGTATTGGGACAGTTGGCACTTTGGTAATGGAAATTGGGTTCTGATGAAGGGACAAGGATGATAGGTACAATGTTAACTCATCTCTTATCAAACAACGGGAATCTTCATAGGCACAGGTTAGGACAAATATTTCATCCATGTGAAAAGCTTTCTTCAGAGGTAACACCAGAAAACTGAGGCTCAAGGCAAACAGTCTTCATCCATTCAGTCACTAACATTCCTTCCCCTCTCCAGAAGTTCTGAGAGAAGGGAAAATCCCAAAGAGAAGCATTGGCATTATATGTTCAACTCTAAAGTCAGCTCTTGTACATGTGGAACGTTAATATGAAGCATAGAAGTGGCCTGTTCAGAACCACTAGGAGTATTTGCTGTGATCCTGTGTATGGAAGCATCCCTTTTAGCTGTCAGAAAAGTGATTGGGAAGCAGTACTTGTGCAGGCAGCTCCATAATGACACTATGGGATTATAACAGGTCCTGCATTCAGATGGGCTCATTGTCTAAGCTTTATTTACAGACTGTCAGGCACTGAGTATGTGAGATAATAAATTTAATAGTACAGTGACACAACAAGTATTAACCAAATTTATCATCTATGCAAATGCAAGTGTCTTACAGGATCTAGGCAATCTGAAATGTCTGAAAGTTTGTGATTCTAAATGAGCTATCTATTTCACTTTACAAGCCTGAGCATCTAGTAAATGCTCAGAGCTATAACCAAATTGTGGTCTCAGTTGATTTTTCCAGATCTTTTGGTTGATGTTAATTTGGCTTGGGCTTTTTCCCCTTTTTCCTTTCACACTACAGATGATTAGCTCCTGTTTTCTATAATTTACTTGTCTCCTGAATTTCCTGTTCTTTTCTACATGAAAGGCTGCATGCAGTAGGAGGTAGAAATGAGATGTTAACAGGACAGAGTGTTGGAAATGTGGAGATGTATGCGTATAGTTTAATCTTTGGATATGAGACTGGCACTTGAGCAACAAAGGGAAAAAAGCCTCTTTTGGTTATTGAGTGTGGGGATTTTAGTTTGAGTGTGGGGATTAGATAATGTTTTGAAATGCACTCTGAGTGAGAAAAATCTGAGGACGGGGGGTGACTGGTGCAGCATGACGGGTTATATTCCTGCCTCTAGGAAAGTAGTAAGTGGGAGTCAAGGCAGTGCACTACTGATGCCGAAGTATGAAAAGTTTGTGAACACTAGAGGAACAGCACCTGACCCAAAGCAAGTCTTTCCCAACTGTGCTTCTGGATTATCACTCAGGAGCATCTTTAGTTAACTTCAGTTTAGTCGTGGCATGTCCAAAAGAACTCTTGTCTGTCCAAGGGAAGCTCATTTTGGTTAGGATTGGGGTTGTTTCCAAAAGCTTTTTTACATCTTGTCAATGAAGTTTGAGTTTCCTCTATATGTCACTGGCAAATATGAGGTGTGTCCTTCTGCAACATGCTCACATATGCTGGAGATACTATCAGAGGGATTTGGTTTGTTTGGGTTTTTTTCTTTAATGCACTAAAGTTAGTAGAATTTGGAATACTGCTGGCATGGGGCTTTGGAAATGCTTTTCTGCATCTATTATTTTTGCACTTGTAAGACTATACATTGTGGTAGCTTTTGAAAAAGATGTAAATTTCTGCCCTTCCCAGGGAAGAAAGCCAGTGTCTCCTGATGGGACTGTACAAAATCAGCAAGCACAATGGGCTGTGAACTGTTGGTGAACTCTAAGGAAGCATTTAAACAAAACAGGAAAAGGGTCCTCAATCACTGGAGCCATGAGCATGAGAAGAAAGTGCAAGTGATGGTGTGGCCCACACTGGACTTGTATCTTTCCTGTTTTCTCAGTTTTAGCAGTTTAAAAGGTTTAACTGTAGCCCCCAACAACTCATGGAAGTGGAGAACCACTGGAATGAGGACATGTTCTTTAGGTCACCTTGAACGTGTTCTCAACAGCAGAACCAAAGACAGATGTAAGCCAGCAAAATATGGCACATATAGGATTCATATATGTCCAGGTCACTTTATATGAATTTATATGTATGAGTTATGTGTCCATGTCAGTATGATTTACATTCATCATATGAAAAATAGCTACACTGTTTTAAAAAAATAATTAATTACAGCAATGCAAAATATGTGGTAAGATGGCTCACTTTGCTATAAACATACTCCCAGAATTGTTGTAGGTACACCTGATTAAAAAATCACAAACAGCTATAAGCAGAAACTCTTTTAGCATGAAGCTGTAGGTGGAGAAAACCTCACTGCAACTTAATCCTTATCCAAGTCTCAATCCAAACCCTAATAAACTGTGAGGTCACCCAAATTCTTCAGAGAACAATCTTTCAGGATTTCCTTACACATAAAGCTCTTTACACATAAAGTTGGAATAATTTTAACTACGCTAAAGCAATCACCTAAGTATATATATCTCCATGTGTCTGTATTGAAAGAGTTTGCATGAGCATTTTCTCCATGAAGATGATTGCCATAGTAAAAGGCAAGGGAGCTGTGTCTCTGTCCACAGCTGAGTTTTGACTAGCAGAAGTTATTCAGTTTGAAAAAAATCTGTTCCTACTGACATAATTATACTGGCACAGGATTTTGTCATCTTTTGTCTTGGCCACATAGATTTTTTTGTGCCTTTAAATTCTTTATTCATTGATGAAATGCTTTCCTCGGCTTATGAGCTTATACAGAGCCTGTCCCCAACATGCTACATGACAAGCAAGCAAACTTGGCAGCCAGACCTGTTCTTACTTTCCTGCAGCATACACATTCATCAGAGCTTGGGATAGAAAACTTTTTGAGATGTATATAAAGTATGATGTACCTTTCTTGCAGGTGGTTTTCTTGCAGTTTCAAAAAACCCTATAGTTATCCTGTTTTCATGGCTGGTACAGAAGAGCTTGCTGTGCTCTCAGGGTGACAGGCAGCCATCTAAGCAGCACTCCATTGGGGCTGATGCAAGTTCAGGAATCCTTGAGTGGCCGTGCACGGGCTGGTCATCTGCCAGGCATTGTTACCCTCTTTTGGAAGGGTTTTGAGCTCTTCTAGCTGAATTCTTTCTGATCTCTAAAAGATCAGAAATACCAATAAGCCTCAGGCAGTGCTTATTAATCCTTCTTTTCTTTATAAAATCAAAATACTGAAGCATAAACTGCATAGGTTGTCAGGTGAGTGAGGGAGTAGAGGTGAACCATGCCTTCCCCATCCCTGCTGCTGCTGTGAATTGGGATTGCCACCAAGAGAGGCAGTTTGATGCCTTCTCTTCCTGGCTTCTTTTTTCCAACTTCTTCACTGTCTTGTGCCACTGTGAAAAGGTAGGAAAAAGAATGGTGATCCAGACTAAGGAATTGGTTTAGGCTAAGACTTAAATACTGTTGTTAACTTCCTGAGTTTGTTTAAGTCCATCTTAGTTCCTGGCTTCCTTATTCTGTTCTTTCACAGCCACATAAGCACATTGGCTGTTGTGAAGGAGGATGTGGCCAAAAGTGAGAACAAGTGGCAGTTTTTGGAGGAACTGTGGCTCTGAACAGCAACAACTGATTTAGCTGACCATGCCATGACTGATTTCCAGCTGGTAAGGCCTGTCCTGTGCCATCTCCATGGCCACCCAGTCCTTCAGAGCAGAGCAGCTGGGCAGCATCAGGTGCCAGAGGGCACCTCCTGGGAGCCGTGACCAGAGCCCCACAATGGGCAGCTGTTGTGTGGTCCTTGGCAAGGGATAGCTGTGGTATGTTTGAATTCAGACATCAGTAATGAGCTCTCACCCCCAGGACTAACCTTCACTGATTTATCATTTAAAAGCTGCTTGCCAAGAGTACATTTAGAAAAGTTTCCAGACAATAGCTGCAGGATGTGTTTTGCCAGAAATTAAGCAAAAACAACCATAAATTGTAGAAACTCAGCTTCTGTCACGCACATCCTCTAGTGAACCACTGTGGAAAGAAATCCTGTCCATCCTTTTGATGAATCTTGCAATGATGAATTGGTTGTAGATGTAGCAGAGACCTGAGGAAATGGCAGCCCACCATGCTTCTCATACACTTCTCTCTGTCTGCCTCACTGGTGATGACAAGTTCCACATGCAGAACCTGGACTATGAGTCTCCCTCTCTCGGGGCCCAGAAACTGTAGTGCAGCACATGCAGAGTTTTCCTTGTGTTCCCTCCTACCTACAACCTCATTCCAGCAGTGCTGTGTTGGCACATGATCTGACCTGGTGGTTTGACTGACTGGAGAAAGGGGAGACTTGTTCTGATACAGAGGGCTCAGCCCTCCACAGCAGGATAGTTACAACTATCCTGTCATAATAAAATACGTAAATAAAAGTAAAAAACCCTAAACTGCGGGCAATGTAAATCACTTCACCACCTTCTTCCTGCTCATTGCAAAAGATCCTATCATGACTTCTGCCAGGTGCTGAAAAAATAATTCAAAAAATACTGAGAAAATATATTTTGATAACTAATCAAGTAGAGAGGTCTCATGTTATTATTAAATTAATTTCCATGGAATTTCATTAACTTGTGCCACATTGCAAGTATCCAGTCTTGTCAGAGCCCCTGTATTTGTTGAAAAGGTTAGAAGACAAGGTGTGAGAGGTTCCAGCTAAACAAGGGAAACCTGCTTTGGGCTGTAGCTGAAGTTAAGATGAAGAGGAAGATACTTCTGATTGCCAGAGGGCTCAAGATCCTAATCAACCCTCACTCCTTTAATTAGCATGAAGCAGCTCATGAGCTGCAGCTTTCAGAGTTGGGCCTTAGAAAGTCACATGAATAGTCAGCTTGCTCCTGATCAGGAATTGCGTGAACATTACCCTGGGGCTTCCTGTGGTCGAAGGTTTGGCGTTGCCTGAACAAGCTCTGCAATGTAAACACAGGTTTGTAATTTATTTAGCAACATTGTGCAGCAAGATGTAGTACAGTGGCACATCAGGTGAAATATGTTTCCCACATCTGCAGTTGTTCAAGGATTAAGATTCAAAAAGTGTAGTTTAAAATGAAGTCATTTACCAGTCTTCTCCTTCTGAAGATTGAACCTGGTCTTTGATATATGTCATTCAAGTTTGTCTATATTGCAGCAAAGTAAATTCCTCCTTTTTAGTGAATGTGCTTCATTTCCAGAGGAGCTAGGAATGCTCAACACTTCTAAAAACCTGCTCTCCCACATCTGGAAAAAAGTACATGAATATTTCTGTCCCTCCAGACTGTATTTTAGATTGGTCTGAAGCTATGACATTTCTTAAAGAAAAAAAGCATTCAAAAATAAATAATTTGGGAAGCTGACTTCAATAATTTCATGTTTCAATACATTCATATTCCATTCTGATACAAATATAAATTTTGAGCTTAATATACAGATGCAAATTTTAATAAAGTCTAAAATAAGTCCAGTGAAATGATAGCTGAAATAAAGCACTGATATTGGCAAAACGAAACATTTCATAACAAGAAACCCAAGTCAGTTTGTTTCAGGATTCTCATATTAATTTGATAATGTTTGATAAAGTCTTCTATTTTTGAGTTACAAATTTTTTCCAAAATTACCATGCTCCTATAAAATGTTTAAATATCAGTGAAACATTCTGCAGCAAGAATCATGCTATCAAAGTACATTTACTAATTCTAATTACATTAATTAATAAGCTGAAAAAATGTGTGAATATGATTAAGATAAAAAGTGTTCTGTAAAATAAAGGCTAGAACATATCAGTGGCAAATAAGATGAAGGAGAAAAATAAAGATATTTATTCCTCAAAGCAACCACAACTGGAGAAAAAATATTATGATATATATTTTCAAAAACCATTGGTATGAGCTGTTTGCAGGTGTTTCCATTCCTTGCCTATTTTCCAATATACCCTTGGGTCAAGATGACTGCAGTGTTCATGTGAGTAATGACAGGAATGTAAAATGCTTTCTACCAACTCCCTAAATCAATTGCCCCTTTCATATTTCTTAAGGCTTTCACCCTTCTTTCCTTCACATGGATACTTGTACCATTTTTCCAATACTCTGCTGAAGTTATAAAACCACATTTGTTGTGGCACTGTGAGTCAGCAGAACTCGCTGAGCAGTTCCCACTGCACAGGGCTCCAGGGCTGGTTCACAGAAAGCGTCATCATAGAAGCATCATCTGCACCTCAGCTCAGGATTGCAGGTACTGCAATCCCACCCCTCTGTGAAGGACTTCGTTATTGTAAAGGCCATGCTTTCCATTCCTGGAGAGACAGAGGAAAATGTTCAGGCTCAAATCGTGATCGTTTCAGATGAAGGGAAAAAACAACAACGAGGAAATACTTTGCTGGGAGACAGCACAGTAATTCAGACTGAAATATTCTTCCTCTGAAATGGAGCACAGAACAGCTGCTTCAGTATTTAGAGATGCACAACCCCAAAATTAGAATGTCAGTCCATGCTTGCATTGGCTGCCTTTTGCCTCCTGCAAAAGAAAGTTAAATATGAGATAGCTATTATTGCAAACTCTGTTTAATCCCTGCAGATACTTGCAAATGCTGGAAGAAGGAAGATCCTTGGTTTTGCATTGAAGACTCATGTTTACTTGGAACCTTTTTTCTGTGAAAGATGCACTGACCAACCACTTTTAGTAGCACCAATAGGAAATGTAAGAACTGCGTAAAACTGCTCCTCCCTAGGAAACCAAAATCCCACGGCGCAACCCCGGGCCACGCCCCCCGGTCGGGCCGGGCCCAGAAAGGGGCGCTGTCTCTTTAAGGCGACGGTGCGGGCGCCCCCTGGCGGCGGCGGCGCGGAGCCC